GGTGTCTAAAAGGGGCTCCAGGAGAGATGASGAGGGACTTTGGACAAGGGCCTGGAATGACAGGACAAGGGGAAATGGCCTTAAGCTGAAGCAGRTTCAGATTGGGTATTAGGAAGACRTTTTTCCCTGTGAGAGTGGGGAGGCCCTGGCACAGGATGCTCTGAGAATCTCTGGCTGCTCCATCCCTGGAAGTGTTCAAAGGCCAGGTTGGATGAGGCTTGGAGCAGCCTGGGATAGTGGAGGGTGTCCCTGCCCATGGCAGCGGAGTGGAATGGGATGGSCTTTAAGATCTCTTYCAACCCAGACCATTCTGTGATTTTSATTATGTCCTCTTGCCTCACCAGGGAGCCTCAGAGGTGTTCAGGTGAACAAGAGGTAATGCTGTGAGCAGCTGTCACTCCACCTGAATAAAACAGGATGTCAGTGGTGGCAACAGTTTTTGTGTCTCCCCACAGGTGACCATGGTGACACCACTGGGGGAGAACTTCTGCAGCCCCACGGTGCTGGGCCCTCCTCCCATCCACATCAGTGAGCTGTGCCTGGCAGCGGCATTGCCCACGTCAGCTCYGTGGAGCTGGAGGGGAAGCCTGGCACCAGCCTCAGAGGGCTCAGCTTGGCTCTTCTTCAGGGGAAAAGGGGAAGGCACATGCCAGCATCCCTTTGCAGGGCACTTTGGGAGCCACGCTCCTGTTGGTGTTTCTGCTGGATGGAGAACACGACCATGGTGAGTCCGATGGAATGGACCTGGTGTGGGGTCTGTCTTCAAAYTCATGGGCAGGGACTTGAACAACTTTGAGGAAACAGATGGAGGAGGGTGCATATGGGAAACAATTCTGCCTTGCCTTTCCTGTCCTTTATTCCTGCTATTTGTTCTGCCTAGGCTGTTCTGTCATACTCCAGCTGAGAAGGCGATAAATCCTCACTGRTGCCTCTGCCAAACTCTCCATGCAGGGGAGTGGGAGGACCAAAAGTTGCTCCTGCTGGTACCAAGACAAGGGGATTTCAGGAGCAGGGCCCATCAGGGCTGTGGGTTGYTCCCTCATGTCATATTCACTCGTGCTCACTGAACCCTGCAGTGCTGCTGYCTCCTCCTGCTCCTCTGCTGGTGCTTTGTCAGCACATTCCTTTATCTTGTTCACCTTAACACATTCACATTCTTACTCATGTTCATCTCASTATCTGTTTAGGCTCCATGAAAAGGACTGCATCTCAGAAGAACCTTGGTATTTTTAGAAACCTGTGTTCACAGCAAGTAGCTTCCCTACGGCTTTACTTGGTCTTAGTCACCACCATTAGTTTGTTTCTCATTTCTGTTCTTGGAGTTCTCCTCCTTGCCAGCTTCTCCTGACGGGCTCAAAGTTCAGCCTAACACTATCTGGATGTTCATCTTATCTATTTCCCTGGCATTTCCAGAWGGGACAAACCTGACCTCCAAGAACATCTCTGCTGCTAGTGAAGGCTCAAGCGCTGTTGCTGTGTACAGCACCAGTGTGATTCCTGCTGGCAGAAAGGCAATGCCAGATGGATGCCTTGGTTTACACCTGTGAGCCTGGCACATCTGGAGGACACTTGGGCTTCCTTGGGCCATCTTATACTGTGCCCTGCAAGGGTGACAGGTGAGGTTACTTCTCTAGGAAAGYTTCTGGTGTGAAGAGGAAGCAATAGATTAATGAAATGCAGGGGCAGGTATTGTGTAGCTTGGAAAACTCTCTCCTGGAGGACAAACTCTTAGGTGTGGGAGTGTGGCTGTAATGAGGCAGCAATCTTTCTCCTGCAGAAGCCAGTCAGACCAAGTATGTTGCTCTGGCCAAGCTCACATCTTCTGCAGATGCTGAGTAGGCTGGGCCCATCTCTACCATGGTTCTGTGAAAGCTGACTTCAGCTTCAGCTCCAGCCAACTCTCTATCATCCACAGCAGTGCCAGGAACGGGGTTCCAGGGTGGGATTTGGAGGTGGGAAGAAAGGTGTGTGCCATGTCAGTGARCTCTTACTCCTCTTGTGGGGAGAGGCCCATGTCCCTGAGCCACGTGGCAAGGCCAGCACAGGACTGCAGTTTGGTCTCTTGGAACCCTCTCCCGGACTGTGGAACAGCTGTCCCCAATACGGCCTTTGCTGTGGATCTCCACCTCTGCCTCCTCACACCCAGTGAGTGGAGTTGGGCGTCCCACCAGGGCAGGATGGGGGGGCTGGGATGGGGGCAGACTTTAACATTCCATGGCATGGGAGAAGGGGCTGTTGGGCAGCTTGCTGCTGTGAAAGGGGACACACTAGGGGAGAGCTGGAACACTCGCCTATGTGTGGATGTGGTGCTGCCATCCCAAGAGAACACCTGCACCTACAGCTCCAGTGTGGGCTTGYATGGCCCTGGCACAGGCTGCCCGGAGAAGCTGTGGCTGCCCCATTCCTGGAAGTGTCCAAGGCCAGGTTGGATGGGGKTTGGAGCAGCCTGGGATAGTGGAAGGTGTCCCTGCCCATGGCAGGGGATRGGACAAGATGAAGTTTAAAGTGCCTTCTAACCCAAACCATTCTCTGATGATTCTATTATGTGAAGGTGGCCATGTATTTCATTTGAGTTGTTTCTGCTCAGGCCAGGCTGAGTTCTGATCAGGATTTCTTTCTGCAGGGTTAGACTTGCAGCTATGGCAGGAACCCCCTGCTCCAGGTCTCTCATGGTAGTGGGGGCACAGTCAGGGAAACTGCCAGCAAACCCTCCCATCTCAGCCCACCTGTGGAAACAAATTCCTGTCTCAATCCTGACCCAGAGTCAGCAAGGAAATGGACAGCGGGGTCTCCAGCCTCTGCAAAAGCCACACTTGGATCTGCTTGGGGCAGCCAGTATCTGGTAAAATGGAGATTCCTCATTCAWCCTCCTGAGAGAGGCAAGAGTGGGCCTCTCCCTCCTCTCCCAGTGTGAGACACTGCTCTGTGCTGGCCCTTGTGGTGAGATGTGGGTCATGCCCCTTCCCCACTCCCCTGGGAGGCTGCAGAARGAGCCAAGCTGCTGTACAGTGGTAGAAGACCTGAAGTAAAGACTCATCCACAGGAGAGGGCAGAGGAGAGTGGAAGGCAGGGGAGGGTGGGATGAAGGCAAGTGTTTTGGAATGGGGACATARCGGAGCTTACTCACAGTCCTGAATTGCACTCAGGAAAACTACATCTTTGCTTCCCCTAGACTGTYCCGTGTGGAAGCTGCACCACAGGAGGATACGGTAAAGTTTGGAAAGGGTCCTGGTGAGCTCTCTGGAGGAGGAGTGCTCCTGTGGTGTCTCTGACCTCTACCTGCAAGGTTGGTACTCGGCTTCTCATGCCCAGTTCAAGTGCCCTCCTCCCTCTAATTTCTCATTCACAGCTGCCTTATCAGGACAGTCCCTGCTCCAGGCCACCGTGCAGGCTGGCACTGGAGTGAGGAGACCTTCAGGAACAGTGGTGGGCACATGGGATTTCAGCAAGGGGAACAGGAAAGAACCTGACCTGGGCTACTCGTGAGGCCAAGCTGAAGGAGCCATCGGGAATGGCAGTCTCTGCTGATCCTTGTGGTGTCTGCCAGACAAATCTAAACCRACAAAGCAAACAACCCTTTGTATTCCAGAGGGCTTTGCTTCCCAACTCCTGTATTTATTCAAAGTACCCAGACCAAATAGTCACTTCTGGAAGCCTTAGGGACTAGAGCTTTTGAGGGATGGGAATAAATGTTTCCTCGTTTTTGGTGGTTTTGTAAGGAAGAGAAGACTTTGCTGCAATGCTTTGTCTCTCTCATTCAAGTGCCTTTTTGGCCCATTAAACAATTTCAGTCAATTCTGGCCAATGGGTAGAGGTACAAAGTGTAGTACAAAGTATTCTGTTGGGTGGGATTTCAACTCCAAGTCACTTTAGTCACCAAAAGAAAGGTTGAGCATGTGCTCAGGTTACTTGTGGTGCAATATGGCAGCATGACTTCAGAACAGTGGGGAGAAAACGGTGAAGAGTATGGGAGCAGGAGGGCACAAAGTCASGGGACCAGTGTGATCACCGACACCAGCAGGTTTCTGACCACCCAAAATGCACTGTTGTTTCTTGGCAGAGCCTAACCTGACATGTGTGGGCTCACTGGTGAAGGTCTGGGGCCAGGTGTGGGCTCGGCAAGCAGAGCAGGAGCAGTCCAACAAAACCTGGCTCTAGAGATGTCTGGCAAGCCCCCATCCCTTCTCTGTGGACAGGACAGTTCTGAAAACCAGTCCTGAGTGTGTCACTCTCAAAAATGTGCCATTTATGTCACACAGTGGTGGTGAGTAGGAGGGACTCTTCTGCCAACACAGTGAGTGGGGCTGGAGCCAGGTCAGGCCACATCTCCACATGAGAGGGGGCTATGTGGGGAAAAGCCACTGGGCTTCAAGTGGGGACCCCCTTGCTTTTGGAGATGTTGCTCCCACAGGCAGGAAGCCTCGAGGCCCAATTGCTGGGAGCAGCCACTGGCACCCGGGCTGGGACTGTCCAGAGCCAGGATGTCACAGGGTTGTAGCAGCAGAGAAAAGAGTCYCTCAGAGTGGGAGGCTGGAACAGCCCAACCTGTTGTTGCCCAGAGCTGGGGCTACCCCATCCCTGGAAGTGTTCCAAGCCAGTTTGGATGGGGCTCAGAGCAACCTGGTYTGGTGGAAGGTGTCCCTCCCCATGGCAGGGGARTTGGACTAGATGGCCTTTAAAAGTTTGTTCCAACTCAACCCAGCCCAACCYRGCCCAAYCCAACCCATTCTGTGACTGATTCTGTGACATCCTAGGGGCCTCCCATACTGGGAATGGTCATGGCTGCAATGCCTCTTCTCTGCATTTGTCCTTCAGCTTCCTTCCAGGGCTGGAAAATTGCCCTGTTTGTCATGGGATCTCTCCTGCTTCTGGTATTGTTGGTGGGCCTGACCTTTTATTTCATCAAAAGGTGAGAAACCACCCTTGTATSTGCTGTGCATCGCCCACCCTCTCTTCCCCCAGGGCCTCCGCTCTTAACTGCTGCATGGTGACCCGTTCCTTCATTCAAGTGAACATCTACACTGCTTTCAGACAGTTCAGTATGTTGCTTCTCATTTTTGCAGCAAAGGCCCTTCCTTTTTGCAAAGCCCCTTTGTTTCTGACAGAGCAAACTGCAGGTTCTCTAGGAGGTTGAGATAACACCAATAAATCCTGGATGGTGCTAGGCATGTCAGCAGCTGCAGTGTAAGGGCCATCAGTGGTACTAACAGCATGCTGTGGTGGGAGAGCAGAAAGCTGAAGGCCTGTGGTACACAACAGATGATGCTGTGGCCCTTCCTTGGAGCAGGGTGGAAATGACAGACACTTTAAAACTACCTTGGTAGGAAACATCTTCCATGTTATAACATGATACCACTTTAAATAACAACCTGGTGTTCCCTGATGTGGTTAGGAGGCAAACAGCAGGTGAACACTCAAGCAGTATGGCTAACTGAAATGAATGTTACAGTGGATGGGTCATATAACCAGCCCAGGTGATTTATTTTAAACAATTTTTRCTGTTCGTCTTTCAGCACTGGATAAGGGGCTGATGTGCAAGAGCTGGRAATGAGGGAAGTTCTTAGAATACATTTGGGGAATAGAAAACCCAGTATATGTGKTTTTTAAAACTAATTTTAAAAATASCCTAAGTCAGATTTAGGGAAGGTCTTTCAGAAAACCAGGGTGGTTTTAAGTTAATGTACATGTGCCATGGAATAGCAGCAGTTCTGCTGCTGTTTTTCTCCAAAACATTGACAGAGACATTAGGAAACAGTGACTGCTGAGTGCTGGTCATCCAGCCTCTTTTCAAAGCTGAGGTGCAGATTAGCTGCCTTGTGCAAAAGAGCAGAGCAACTGACCATGTGTTTTTCTTCATCTGTTACTTTTCAGAYGTCCCCAAAATTACACCAACATCGAAATGAATGACCGCAAGCAGATTGCAGCAAACTTCTAATTCTCCTGGGCACAGCTGGGTCTGACAGCCCTGGGGCCAGGGATGTGTCTCAGAGGGGGTGTCCAGCTCCCCCATACACTGGGGCTGCTGCACAGACTTTCTAAATGCCCAGGTGTACACATACATCTATCTACATCTGTGCATGTGTGTACAGCTCTATCTGTGYACAGACACCTGAATTGTTTTTTACCCTTAATTTTGACCTTGGACTACACGAGACCTAAGAAACAGGCTGGGGACTTCCTGTAGGCACAGGTTGTGCCAAGTACGGTGCCTGCACAGACAGAACTGGTGTGGCTGATGCTGAGGAAGGACATGCTCAGCCTTCTCTCAGGATTCACTGCTTTCTGATGAACCAAGGTCACCCCCATCAGACCTTTCCACCTGGCAGGCAAGGCCAGTCTCTGGTCCTTCTGGAGTWAGGGCACATCAGCCACCCCTGCACCCTTCTGTTCCAGGCATGGTGGTTCTAGCATCAGGCCCTGCTCTGCTTGAGCAGCACTGCAGCACCAGCAGCCTGCTGTAGGGACAACCCTTGCTGCTGGGGATCACAACCAGGAGGCTGTCCTGCCCAGGAAAGTGGGTTACAGGAGAGCTGAACTTACAGTTCATCAGCTCCTGCCCAGGTGCAACTCTTACTGCTATGGTCCTGCCCTTATCCTGCCAGACAGTGGGCAGCAGCAGTCCCAGATTCTGAGTCTGCTGAGTTTGTGGGGTGAGGAGAATGAATCTGCTCAGTAAAAGATTGTTTCCTACACAGTCTAAGCTATCCCTAATGGTGCAGCAGCTGATGCCAGACTCCAACAACATCCTTAGTGTGTGGAGTGCTGCTCTCACCTCATGGGTTTCTGTACGCTTTGCAGTTTCATGCATGGTGAGAGTGACCCACACGCATCTAGCCTGCTCACTGGTCAGGTGAGGGGAAAATGCAGATACTGATCCCACACTGGTTCTGGACCATGGCATAGATAGATTTCTACTGWACAAGGCTCTGTGGAGGGGAGGGCAGGACTGATTATCACAGCATTGACTCTCATGAGAAGAAAGCCTTGCGTTTTCTTGGAGTCACACTTCCCTGCTGTGTCCATCTGAGCTGCATCTTCTCCTTGCAGGCAGCTGCCTTCTGCTGAGGTCCATGGGCCCCAGCCAGTTCCAGTGCCAGCCAGGATGAACAGCACAGGAGGCGTGAGAACTCAGCCTTCCACTGTCCAGTCTCTTGTGCCAGGCAGCCCCTTCCGGTCAGCAGGACTGGGAACCTGAGGCACCAGGGATCTTCTGTACTGTGTGCTGCACGTAATCCTTGGGCAGATGCTTGAGAGATGGTTCTTCCTCCTGGCTCCATCCTGCCTTCAGCACCACACTGCTGGAGCACATGGGCCTTGAAGGAGCTCAGATCAGCTCCATCTTGAAATGGCTGAAGTTCAGCACGGTGGGCGAGGGCTCAGCCATGCTACTGAAGGAGCCACAGGGCTGGGTGGCTGGCACGGCRCCATGGCTCACAGTGGAGCTGAGCTGCTGCAGGGTCATCAGCACCTCCTGCTGCAGCCGCTGCTGGTGCTCCTGCTGGCGTTCCAGGCGGCACTGCCACTCCAGCACAGCGTGCAGGGTCTGGCTCAGCTTCTGGACCTCTGTCTGTACAGCGTCCAGCTTCTCAGCAATGGCAGGACAGCTGGGAGCAGTGGGGAGCACTGGKCCACCCCAAGCAACGTTGTGATTTYCCGGACCCGCAGGGTTTGGCAGAGCAGTCTGAGTGCTGGCATCTTTGACCTGGAATAGTGGAGGCAGGAGAGAAGGGAGTGAGAAACATTATCAGCTGCCCATTCAATGGCACTTAACAAGGGATTTATTCTGCACTTAGCTACATGGCTCAGAGAAAAGCTCTCAGAGCGAGCCATCACCTTGTTGCAGACCCCTAGACCTCATCATGAGCTGCACTTCAGCTCACCCAGCCTCTAAGCCTCTGGTGCCCCATGTTCTATTAGCATGTGCTGATCCATCCTGTGTGGGTGCAGTGGGGCTGCCCATGCTGATGCCAAGCTTGTGTTTGCTCTCTGCACGGACAGAAACAGCATCTCCTGCATTTTGCTTTCCAACCTTGGGTGGCTGGAAGAACCTCCCAGGCTGGTACAGACACCTTAAAAAGAGGTTTGTGAGCTACAGGCTGGAGGCCAGGCCTGGCAGCCACTGACATCTCCATGGCCAGAAGTGAGTGATGGCTGCAGGTGGATGRGCCCATGGCCTCAGCATCCCCAGAGGGCCTTCCCAGACACACTCACCAAGTGCCAGGGTCAAGCATTGCTGTAGACTGCAGCTAGCAGAGGTTGGGAGGCATTCTGGGAGCCCTTCACCCCCAGAAGCCTGCCCCACCACATGATGTAGATGCAGCAGGGTGCTGTGCAGGGTTGGCCAGATAGCAGCACKGCAGCAGTTCCTGGCCAGAGCACATGAACTCTCCCATCCTGCCATCCTACCTTTTTCTGCAGGAGGATAGCCCTGTCCACAGTCTTCTTTTTCAYCATCAGGTGTGAGTTCTGGGTGGGGGGTGTGACCAGCTGCCTCTGGCTGGGCAGTGGCTGGGGGGGGATGGCCAGACCCCCCAGAGTAGTCCCCAGTGCCAGGGATGTGCCTGTGGAGCTGTCATCACCTGCAAGAATAGAAACACCTCAAAAGGAGGCCCTTGGGGCGTCTCCAGGGCAGAATGGGGCCCTTTCCCAAGCCCAGCAGTGCCAGGGGGGTGACCATGGTGAACCCCAGTGGGGCCAGGCCTTACCATTCCCAGGGGCCAGCCCCATGGGCAGGGTGTCCCCGAGCTGCCCACTGTTCTTGCAGAGCGAGGCCACACTGACAATCTGGATGCCCTCCTTGGTGTCCTGGCTGCCAGCGGAGCAGGGTGCCTGGCTGTCCGTGGGATCCTCGGTGGGCCCTGCAGAGGGCCAGGTGCCAAGCAGCCGGGGGGACTCAGCATCGTGYCCCTGCAGTGGGGACCAAGACTGGTCCCCATCCCAGCCAGCTGCCACTGACCCTGGCTCCACGCTCTTCCTCTTGAGGAAGAGGTACACGGCCTGTGGCGTCACCCGGATGTCATCCARCTCCAGCACCTTCTTGATCTTGCGGAAGCTCAGCCCAGCCCTGCGCAGCTCCACGATTCTCCTCTTGGCATGGTCATCGAGCCGGCCCATGGCTGCCGGGACCCCTCCTGTGGCCAGCACCTACATCCCTGGAGTGCAGCCGTGGCGGGGATGCTGGCAGCCCCCTGGCAGCTCTGTGCCCTGTGATGGTGCTCAGGCTCAGCTAGTGCCTGACTGCCAGGCTGCTGGCCCTTGTCCTGGGTCCATGTGGTGCCATTCCCAGCTTCCAGCAGTGACACGGTCCCAGATGGAAAGGGYGAAGGAGATGGCTCTTCTCACCGGGGTGAATATGGACAGCCCCAAGCCTGTCCCTCACTCATGTGGAACCCTTTAAACAGAAGAGTCCAGCTTGGTCACCCAGTCTGCTAAGGGCACAGAGGATGGTGATGGGCTTGGCTCTGCCCAGTGTCCCAAACTGGACATYGATCCCACCCTGCCAGCAGCACAGCAAGCAATCAGCAGCGGTCAGGATCCTGAGCAGCAGCTCAGTGTCCTGGGAAGCCTAGTGTGAATCCTGGCAAGTGACAGTTCATTGCATGAGGCTGGCAGGACCCCACTGTGTCTCCCTGGTGGCCCAGAAGGTCACGGTGAGCAAAACATAGAAACTCCGTGTGGGAATTGCTGGTGCTGCAGAGACTGCCCTTGGGTCTGGAGATGACACTGTCCTGTACCTTTGAGAGAAGCAAATGCAAGCAGCGATACATCCGTTGTAAAGAAGGCACAACTATAAATGTAATGGCTAGACCTCCTGTGCTTGCCCTCTCACAGCCCGTATGCGCCTGTGCCACACAGGGATATCCCTATGTATGTCTATACCTGCACACATAATGTGTCTACACAACTATGGTGGAGGGCTTTTTCCACTTTCTACCAAATTCCTTAATCTGCAGGCAGTTCTTGGACCCTCAGTGCTGCAGCTGCTCCCTAAAGGACATACTTCTGGATTTCACTTCACTAAAATAAATATCCTCCAAGAATTCCCAGAAGGCAGCAAAACACTTTTTCAATTAGAAAGAGACTACRTCAAGTGGCTGCTGCCAAGCAGATGTGATACAGGAACCTTTTCCAAACCACATGTCTCAAGGGATATGTGGATCTTAAAAAAGATAATAATGTGTTATGTTAGCCAAGGAGGCATAGAGACTATTGGACATCAGCCTTGAGGAGAAATGGAGTCACTTAATTTGACAGAGGAGCTTTGTCCCTCTGCATCTTACTTCTTCCATGGCAAAAGAGAGACATTAGCTCCAGAGAYGTAGGCTGTACTTTGATCCAGCTCTGTTCACATCTGAAATCCACCTCATGCCCTGCTGTGTGCATTAGAGACCTTGTAAACAAGAGCTGGGAGAGTGGATATTAGAAAACAGACATCCTTGGATGTAGACACTATWACTGCACAGCAAGAGCAAAAGGTCAGAAATTCTCAACCTTTCCCATGTCAAGGGGAGATGCTCCAAGGAGACCAGCCTTGAAGCTGCGGGTATGAGGAGCTCGAGCCCTGACAATATACTCTGCCCTCCTCCCGGTGTCTCCAGACACGGCCAGAGAACATGGGAGTATCTGAGCAGTTGGTGACAGAAACATAGTTTACATAAACGCCAGGAAAGCCAACAGCCATGGCTGCAGCCTTCACCCAGCCTCCATAGGGAAGATGAGGAGAGCACCTTGAAGAAATGCAAACTCCTCCAGCTCCCTCTCCACTGATGATGTTGCTCTCTGTGTATCATCCCCAGGTCCCAAATCCCTCCTTCATCACATGCTCATCCCCTTCAGCCCTTCCCAAGCCCTCCACTGAGCTCCCATTGCCCTGCCCTGCTTTTCTGGCTTTGGGGACAGTTCACAGGAGGCACAGACCATCCCTGCCCTGCTAACCCCACATAAGCTCAGCATTCCCAATGCACAGTTTTCCCTCAGAACCCCCATTTGTTGGATGGGCAGCAGGGTGAGGAATTTGGCCAGGATGGCTTCAGGRCAGCAGGGCATGGCTGCAGACAGCAGCTCCATAGAGTTCACCCAGGCTCCTTATCCTTCAAGAACAGCACTTGCCTCTGCAGCAGAGCTTTTAAAAAATGTCTGTTTACTGATCCGAGGTAGACCAATACCTGGAAAGCCATTTCAGAGAAGACACTGAGAAGCAGGGTGCAGGGTCAGAGTCCMGCGGGTGAGCAGGAGATGCAGAAGGCAAATGCAGCAACAGCTACTCTCTAGCTACACCTCCCAGGTAGGGGAAGAGGGTTACCAGTGAAAGCAACATTACTGTATTCCAAAAAAACACAGTATTCCAGCAATTTCCTCCAAGATCAGAATCACAGAAATCAATTAGTTTGGAAAAGACCTCTGAGATCATCGGGTGCGACCTTTGATCAATCATCAACTTGTAAATTAGACTATGGCACTAAGTGCYACAYCTGTTCTTTTCTTAAACACCTCCAGGGATGGTGACTCCATCAGCGCCCTGGGCAGCCCATTCCAATGCCTGACAAGCCCTCCTGTGAAAAAATTCTTCCTGATGTCCAACCTGACCCCTCCTCTGGTGCAGTCTGAGGTTATGTCCTGTCACTTGTTCACTGGGAGAAGCTGCTTTTCAGATGGTTATAGAGTGATAAGGTTACCCCTGAGCTTCCTTTTCTCCAGGCTAAACAACCACAGTTCCCTCAGCCATTCCTCATAAGATTTACCCTCTAGACCCCTCACCAGCTTCACTGCCCTTCTCTGGACTCACTCCAGTACCTCACTGTCTCTCCTGAACTGAGGGATCCAGAATGGTTTGGGTCCAAAGGGACYTTAAAGCACATCTCATTCCACTTTCTGCCATGGGCAGGGACACCTTCCACTATCCCAGGCTGCTCCAARTCCTGTCCAACCTGGCCTTGGACACTTCCAGGGATGGACCAGCCACAGCTGCTCTGGGCAACCTGTGCCAGAGCCTCTCCACYCTCATGGCCAAGAATTTCTTCCCAATATCCCACCTAAAGCTACTCTGTGACAGTTTGAAGCCATTCTACCTTGTCCTGTCTCTAGATGCCCTTGTGAAGAGTATCTCTTCATCTTCCTTGTAAGCTCCCTTYAAGTACTGGAAGGCCAAGTCATGAGATCCCACAGTCAGCCTTTGTAAGAGCCTGGCCTGGTTCCATCTCTACTTACAACTTTATGTATCCAGGTCTTGCTGCAAACTCGCAGTTTCCCTGATTAAATGCACATTTCAACACTGAGTCCATCACCTTCTCTTTCTCCCTCTTCAGAGGTTATTTTCCCCACGGAGATGCAGCCTGTGCTATGCACACACCTTAGGAAGTTACACGTTCACAAACAGATGAGACCTTTACACTCACCTGGTCTTCAAGGTGTTAGTTACTCTCCCAATAATTTTTGCACAGGGAAAAACAAAAATTAGTTCAATGAGAGGGAAAGATTCAGGGATTTTCCTAGACCTGTGACTGATAGAGTTCCTTTCACTTTGAAGGGCCAGGCTGGGTGTGACATGATTCCTCTGAACGTTTCTTACACCACTCAGAAGAAGTTAATTTCAGTGGTCATTTTGCAGGAGGGTAGGGAAAGGGAGCACATCTGTGGAAGAAAATTCACAGTAATTATGTAAGCTTACTCCCTCTGCCTCTAACCCTTTCCATTTCTGTAGATATCAGGAACTCAGGCATTATCTTCTCCAGAAAGTCGCTGGAACAGTCTCATATGGACTGACTCAGCCTTTGCTATTTCTAAAATAGAGCAGCACCACAAAGTTGGTTTGGCTCTGCATTTCCATAGGAAGACTAGGTGCTGTGAGCTGACTGTGGCCAATAAAAGKGCTCTGTTCTGAAATCCCACTTGCCTCCACCTCCCCGGCTGTCACACTGTGTTCCAGCCACACCTTCAAGTCCTTTGGCAAACCCAGATTCTGCAGGCACACATCACTCCCCTGCAAGCTGCAATGGCTCCTCATGGTCTGAGAGTRTCTTCCCCCACCCCCCTCCGCCTTGTTTTGCAGTGGGATGGCTYATAGTCCCAAGCAGGGGGGCTGTCATGCAGCAGCACAGGCTACAAGTTCTGCCCTTTGGTGGATTGGCTTCCGAGGCCTTACACAGCCAGCTGGACACACACGTTTGTGTGAGCAGATGCATGCCTTGTYACACCACCGGGCCTGCAATAGGAATTTTGCTTCAGCCTGCCAGTTGAGGTGTCTGTACAAATTACAGCTCAGCCACTCCTTCAGCTGCTGCTGAATGCTTGCAATGCCTGAAGTCGTTACGTACTCAGTTGTAGCTGAGAAAGCTCCTTTACCCAGATATTGCTGCTGGTAATGCTTTATTCCATAACTCTGCATGTAGCTATATCCACAGAAACACAGTCCAGTGCCTGGAGCAGCCTTCTCATCACTGGGATTATTTCTTTAGTTCCCATGCTCTCTGGCTGAGACAATATTACATACAAAATGAAACAGCCTCAAGAGAGAAGGAGAAAGAAGGCAGCACTCCTGCATGTCCCAGAGCTCCTTTCAGAGCAGAGTGGATTTAAGGTCTAGGAAGAAAAGCAAGAATCCAGGTTTCCTACAACTCAAGTGATGGAACCACTAGCCTTAGGCCAAGCAGGCTTTTCCTCTGCACAACTTGTTCCAGTGCTCAGGCAAGCYCCCACTGCAGGAGGTGACCCTGAGAGGGAGGAACTCCCCAGGATCCATCCTACAAGTCCTCAGGGTAGGGCTCCTCCACCTGCCTGCACACACATCCACCCCTGGCCACTACCATCTGTCTCTCCCACAGTTCCTCTGAAGCTCTGATTACCRGGCTTTAAATGCCAAATTCCCCAAGAGTGAAACATTAGTTGTGTCACCAGGGTTGGCTCATGTCTGGGAAGATTAAATACCCCCTTTTGTCTCACAGCTACTCTTGGATACAGACAATTTTTACCCTCAGGAAAGCTGCTTCTGGAATTCGTGATGGGGTGAGCCAACTGTGCTGCTCTGGGGTTGTGTTTTCTCAATGGCTGTTTCAGCTGCACCATAGCATGCCYATGGCCAGCCTGGCCCACAAGATGGAATAGCTTGGAGAGAAGGAGACATTTATGTACAGATGGGCTTAACCAGGGCAACAAGCTGCCATCCACCATTTCAGAACCAGCACAGCCATGGGGCAGCAGGTACAGAGGAAGAGCAACAGGTCTCACTGGAAAGACAAACTGCTGATGCTGAGGACAGATGTGATTGAAGGAGATTGCAGCTCATTTGTGTGGTCTCAGCAATTGAAAACAGACACTTTATGTTGTTAACATCCCAAAGCATGTTGGACTCAAGGACTCGACATGCTGCACAGACTGCAAAATACTACTCCCCTAAGAAGGTCCATAAAAGACCATGAAGAACGAAGGAGGATGGGTTATGTCTCTTTCCTTTCAACTTTAACTCTCTTTGTACAGTACAGGGCCAGTGCACCAGGGCATGGGAAAATCATTCACAATGGATTCAGTGTTGCCAAAAGGGGATTGATCCTCAYGGACCTTGTAAGGAGACACAAGTCAAATCTGTCAGACCTGGGCCTTGTGACTAGTAATAGCCTGACAAGGCTCTCTCGCCCACCCTTTCCTATGCCTCTGATTTCTAGAACTCCTTCTCAGACCCTCAGCATACCCTGGGAAGCCAGAGCAGCTGCAAGCAGCTGGGGAGGGACAGTCATCCATCTTGTTTGGTTTTGTTGCTTTCCCATAGTATTCTGAACAACTGCTGCAAAAGCTGGCAAGATACTCTGCAACAGCTTGAAGGGGAAGAAATCACTAAAAACATCCCCCAGAAGCACAAGGAGGAYAGTACTGGTTTATATGGGATTAAGATTTGGATTCAGACAGCAAAAAGTCTATCAAGCAGAGAAAAGGTATTGTGGAAGGAGTGAGTCTGCTGAGAATGAGCAAATCTTCACCCTGCAGAGAACTGTGCTCTGAACACAGCTATGTGTCCACARGCAGGAGAATCCTCCACTGGGCTTCCTGCCCTCAGGTCCTGTTCCACAGCCTACCCGACACCACCTGGAAGGGACATGAATAGTTCTTGTCTATTCATGCCGGGAATGGTGTTACTGCTGTAGAGGCAGACTGGGAAGTCWTAGCTCTGTGAAGACAGGTAATCAGAAAGGCTCACAGAGTCACAGAACATGCCGATTTGGAAGGGACCCACACAAGGATCAYTGAGTGCAGCTCCTGGCCCTGCACAAGACAGCCCCGAGAATGGCAATGAGCTGGCCAAGGTAGTTCAATGAAACTTAGCTTGGAGGAAGATGAACAGTATTAGGTGCCCAATGCTGAAATGCTGCCAAAGTAGGAAGATCTGTGCAAGGAAAAATGGCCATTTCTTCTAGGCTGCAATTTTACTCAGTACCACCACTCTGTGGAATTTGCCAAGCCTCATGGAAGCAAYAACATTATCWCACAGCACTGAGTGTAGTGASGCTGCATCCCACCTTACACAGCCCWGAYMAATTGCAAAATTGGTGAAGGAGCACMTCAGTTACAAGTCTTATTAAAAGGTGATGGGTGCAAATAATTTTGATGGTGCTGCTGCTACCTGAACCATGCTGGCTCCCCTCTGAAGGGATAACCTCCAAAGATTTTAATCAAGTTGCACTTCAGCTATCAGAACGGCAGAGRGAAAGGGCTGGGTCTCTAGCCCAGGATTTGAAGTGAGCTTTTTAAAGCCCACAACTTGCTTTGCTCTGTCACTTGCTCTGACAATTGYTTCATTCATTTATGCTCTGCTTTCAGAGCAGTTGAGGAGCTACCCCTGCCTGGCCAGACTTCAAAAATCAGACCCTTACATGGAAAATACAAACAGTTATGKTTCTACTGTAAGTTTTGCAGAATGTGAACAATGAGGAAAGTTAAGGTTTAGGGTGTTGCAAAAAAATTGTGAGTAGGATGATACACATAGTTTGCTCTTGCCCCAGACAATGCCACTACAGCCTGGAGCTAAGTGGGGAATTGAGTWTAAAGATACAGTAGAAAAATAAAGAGGAGTGTGTTGGGATGTTTAGGGACACAGGGTAACAACACTGTTAGTGTTGTTAGTACAGTTACCTCCTGTTTGAGGGGAGAAAATTAACAATATCAGGAATACAAGAAAATCCTCCCTAATGGTAAAAGGGTCCCAGGCCATATACYACAGAGCAGAGACACTGTAAAAAATCACACAGGTTGATAGCCTTGAAGAAAAAGGCTTTGCACTGGATCAACTCTCCCACAACCCAAAACCCAAATGTCATCACCAATATTTTATTACCTGGTCTGAAAAACTCAGCATGGTTGTGATGCTGTGTCTGGTAAAGGTCAGGTTTGTATTAAGAAAATATTTGGAGCATCTAAACATCGTATTAACTGTGGAACCAYAGCTTGAAAGAACAAAATGCTTTCACAGAGCACCTGGAAAGGCCTGTGGGAGAGGAACAGGCTGGATTTCACACTCTGTCTCCAAAATCCTTCTCTGCCCTCAGACTGAACAAATTTATCAAGGCAAAATTGAGTATCCAGACAAGAACAATAAATGCCAAGTATCTCATTGCTTTGCCTCTTTACCTGTGCCTCTCTGTAAAGCGTTATGCACTCTGAGTCACTGTTCTCCACAGATGTAGCCTTTCTAGCAGAGAGTGCTACACTGGCAACACCACAAGCACACCTTGAATTTCTCGTCTTTCACATGGCGGAAGAGGAAAAAATCACTACCAAGTGTAACATACTTACTCCGAGGACGTTTGACTAAGTTTAACATTGAGCAGGTATATTCCTACAGCATCAGGGCATAAGAGTGTTGCAGGAGAACAGAGGGGAAAAAAGCATTAAGGCACAGTTTTTAGGCGAAAAGCCCTGAAACACACGAATAGGCACTTGACACATCCAGGGGCAGACAGTCCTGAAGTCCTAMGCCTGTTCATGGCCTACTTACTACYGCTGTGCACTGCAAGAATAGCCTTAGACCTCCAGAGAGGGCCAGATGTTCAGAAACTATGGTAGATGACTTAATAGACCAAAAAATATTACAGCCAAATTGCTAAATTCACCGTTCCTGCAGATTAGAGAGGAACTCTCAAAATCCCCCATTTTTGCTACTCCAAATCTACATAGTTACTCAACAGTGCAGCCATTGGAAACTTTCTCAGCTTTCTGCAATGACAACTAAGRCTGTCTCTACACATTTGGATGAAAAGTTTCCAAGTCTTCAGAAGACAAATTCCCCACTCTGCAATTCCTCTAAGGAAGCCATACAGACTATACCCACTGGAGCCAGATATACATCTAAACATACTCTCACAGAGGTGCGGAAGGAGTGACAGACTGAATAGAGAGGCAGACCGAAGATCTTCCAGCACAGGGAAAACACCAGCATGCAGAGGCTGTGGGCTGAGCCAGTGCTGCAGTGGAATCCCTACAAAAGCTAAGGAATACCTGGTACAGGGTGCTCACAYCTCAGTGTGATAAAGGAATGCCAGTGTCGCTATGGGGAGAATGACCCAGTGATCACCTGGATCTCTGGGGGGTCAAGGAGAGCCCTCCACTCAGTAGTCGCCACCACAATCCAAAGCCAATGAACAGGAAGSACAGATGAAGCGCCAGTCTCAAGCTGGTGCAACAAACGAGACAAGCGCACTCAGCCTCAGGCAGCGTTTAGAGACAGTTAGTCTCAACCCCCTGTCAGGGGAGCAGAGCAGTTCACCAGCGAAGGTAGCCGTAAAACCTATCCTCAGCAGAAGCCCAGGAATGCAGCAGGGAAGGGACAGCAATGCACAGAATTAAGATCCAAAAGCAGCCCTCACGAACTCTGCTATTTCTCTCCTGGTCGCCCACCAACACATGGACGGTATCTAAAGGAGTCTGCACTTCGCTGCAAAATTGCTGGGCAGGTTTCTGAGTTCAAGAAGCTGCTGGAAGAYAGCACTTCAGATCGGGGATGTACCTCTCAGCTCCGACACGGAACCTCAGCACCGAGCCAGCCTCCGCACGGCCGGGGGCCCCGAAGCCCGGTCCCTGCTGCACCCTCCCTGTGCTCGCACCACTGCCAGGAGCGCCTCTTATCCTTCCCCACGTCACTCGTAGCACCCAAACCAGCTCAATGCCCAGAAGCAAATGGGCAGAGCAGCCACGTACAGGAGCTCCGGACGGCGGCCGGGGTCCTCTCAGGCGACGGCACCGACTCGCTGCCGGCGTTCTCCGGTGGCCGGGACCCGCCAGGTGCCAGCACAGCCCGGCTCTGCCGCAGCCAGCTTTCTGGGAAACGSTTGTTTGAAAAGCTCCTGCCGTCTTTGTTTGGTGGGGCAGAGCCAGCAAAGGCTGCCGGGAAGGTCACCCAGGAGGAGACCGATGAACGGGGGGGCGGGTCCGTCTCGTAACCCTTTCGGAGCAGCCGCGCTCCTGGGCCCCGGCACTTTAGGGCACAGGGCTGTCCGGTCCGGCCCGGAGCATGGCCCAGGCGTGGCTGGACACAGCCGTGCCAGAGGATGGAGGAGAAGCCTCACAGGAGGCAGCGCTGCCGTCCCCAGAGGTCCCATCCAGCCCTGGATGCACCAGCTCCATCCCTGCGGAGGGGGCAGAGGCCACAGCGGGGCCGTTCGCTCTGAAATTGAAGCAGACTCGTGCTTTGAGCTGTTCTCACCTTTGCAAGTGCCYCCAAATGAGATGTTCAAATGTCTGTCCTTGTTCAGGCTTGGCTTATAAGGCTCCCTGCCAACTGCTGGGATSCCCCCGGGAGGGGATCAGAATCCCCCACACGCTGCCACCACCGTTGTGGGGCTGGGCCTGCTGCTCGGGACTCCGCAGGAACCTGCTTCAGGCAACAGCTGACAAGAAACCTTCTTCACAATACAATTATTTTTCTGCTGGTTCAGTGACCTTACCTGCCTCCCCTGGAGAGATTAGAGCTGTTATGAGAATAAGAGTGTACAGGACTTTGGGACCAGTTAACCTTTATGGCTTTACCGTAATGTGAGAGAGAAAGAAAATGTTAAACACTGGGTGCAGCCATGTAGGTGGGGGTTGGGCTCTGCTCGCAGGGAACAAGGGACAAGACAAAGGGAAGCCSCAAGTTGCACCAGGGGTGGTTTAGTTTGGATATTGGGGAAATAGTCCTTGCAGAATGGGTGGTTAGGCATTAGAAGAGCCTGCCCAGAGCAGTGGYAGAATCACCACCTCTGGAAGTGTTAAAAAAAAAAGCAGATGTGGCACCTGGGAACATGGTTTAGTGGTGGTCTTGGCAATGCTGTGGGAATGGCATTGGAAGTAGACTCAATGATCTTAGAGGCTTTTCCAGTCTAAATAGTTCCATGATTCTAAGGTCATCACGATAGTCTACTGATACTCCTCATTTAGACATACTGCAGTTTCTCATTGAACCCATGTGAACTTTTAGTAGGCTACAAAATCCCCTGGCAGGGAAATCTGCCCTTTAACAAGATGTTATATGAAGAACAACTTCCTTTTTGCTTTCTTTGGGGTTTTGTTTTGTTTGTTTCTTTGTTTGCTGAACTTGTTCCACGCTGGTTTCATACCCCTTGGTTTTGCAGCAGAACAGAAAATAAGCCAGTTTTTCTTCTTGCTAYATATGCATTACAGACACCTGCCCTGGTCTTGCTCATGTCCTGTGATGAAGGTAGATGGGACGTATTCTTGCACTGCATTCAAAAGGTGAAGCTTCTTTCCTTTGTTAGGAATTGAACASAAATGCCTTTAGCAACATACTTCAGCTGATCAGCACACCCGCTTCTCAGAAAGGTCTGTGGTTTTTAAAGCCCTACACTAGGGATAGGGTCAAAGTGCTCTTCTGACTTTGTTCCTCTGAAGTCAAAAGTCAGATAGCCAGTGTAACCAAGTCAGATCCGTGCCTGCAGTGGCAAATTTGCTTTTACGTTCACAACAAACATATTTTGGCAGGGAGAGAGAGAGAGACAGAGGGAGAGGATATTCTTCCTACATGACATGAAATGCCAGTGTATGATGCTCCATCTTAAGTAACTCATTTTCCTCTTCCCAATTTTCTTGCAGTTGAGAGGGCAAGCCCCCTCTCAGTAGTGCAATCCCTACATCTGCCACCACCTCAAAATAGAGTTTGTGTGCTCTGAATTGCAGCCTCCACATGAGACAAGGTGGGCACAGCATCCACCGGTGGAGGCTGCAGCCTGCTGGGTTGTCAAACTGTTAAAATGCAGAGCTGAGCCCCCGGCTGCTACTGTTATTATTATGCAGGACAGGGTTTGTAGCAATTTTTATTTCACCAGTTAGTATAGCTGCCCGAACCAGACAAGCAAACTCAGTAAAAGTGAGACTCACTGCTCACCACTCTGGTCAGATGTGCCCGGTTAAACTGGGCTGAGGCAATGCGGGCCAGGAGCATTTGATGTGCTAACACTCAGAGTGGGCCTGGGCACCAGCCAGGAGTCCTCCGGCCACGCGGTCACGCACCCCAGACCCCGAGAGATATGCCATGCCATGCCATGCCATGCCATGCCATGCCATGCCCCGCCCCGCCCCGCCCCGCTCCTGCCGTGACGCCATCACCGCACGCCGCGCGCCTCCCCTTCCCGCTCGCGTTGCGTCATTCGCGCGCGACGGGCGCGGAGTGGCGGCGGCGCCGAGGATGTGAGTGCGGGGCGGGGGCTGCGCCATCCGCATCCATCCGGCCCGGCCGGGGCCCGAGCGGCACCGGCCGCTGCGCGGGCGCCGGGAGGAGCGCGCCGGGGCCGCCGAGAGGCGATGGCGAGGCGAGGGTCAGGGATGGAGCCTCGGAGTCGCGGCCTCCCGCGGCCGGGGGCGGAGAGGGGAGGGCCGGGCCGGGCCGGGGCGGGGCGGGGCCAGCCGAGTCTTGCGGGGAAACCGGGCCCGGGGTCTCGCCGCTGCCGCGGCCTGGTGGGCGGGAGGAGCGCTGTGCGGGCCCGTGGGGCGGGTTGCTCTGCTCATCTCGCGGCACCCTGCCCCACGGGCGCTGTACCGGATCCACGGCGTGCGGAGCTGCCTGGGCCSAGCGGCCGTAGTGGGCAGAGAAGCGCCGAGCGCCGAAGCCTCCTCACATCAGGAGTTCTGCTGGTTTGCAGCTGAAGACCTGGAGCAAATTGCCAGTAAAGCACTCACCTGTAGCCATACAGGAAGCCCGGGGACGAGCGAGTTTGCTTGCTTTGCCGCAGAGCTGCAGCTCTAAGAGTGCAGATTCTGWCCTTAAAGCAGACGTGTGTGTGAGATGTTTGGTCTGTGTAGATTGCTCTTAGACTTTCTGGTTTGGGGTGCGTGCTCCTAAATCAGTTATTTGTCAGAGAGTGAGAGGTTTCAGATTCTAGGGAAGAAGCATGTCGCTTTAAAAAATGCATTGTTGTACAGCYTTGTGTGAAGACTGTGATTTATTCTATCCACATTTTCCAGTGAATGCCTGAACTTGTGCAGGTTACGCTGAGGTTTCCAACCAAAGTGAGTTTGGTCAGTGGCGTTCCTGAGAAAGGAACATAYATTTTAGTTATAATAGCTGGTTATTATGGAAGCTGCTTAAATGCAGCATCACTTGCTGAATGTTCAAAAGCCAGGTGGCTAATCTGCCTGGTAAGCRCCTGTCCCAAGGAGCAATAAACAGTGAAACCTGAAAGGAGAGTGTAGCCACGTGGGGGTTGGGGTCTTCTCCTAGGCAAGGGGTGATACATCAAGAGGACACAGTCTTAAGATGCACTGGGCAGGTTTAGGTCAGACATTAGAAAGAATTTCTTCACAGAAAGGGTCACTGGGCTCTGGAAGGGGCTGCCCAGCAAGGTTATGGAGTGAATGTCCCTGGAGGTGTTTAAGGGAAGACTGGACATGGCACTCAGTGTTCTGGTCTAGTTGACATAGTGGTGTTGGGTCAGAAGTTGGACTTGATGATGTCAGAGGTCTGTTCCAGTGTAAKTGATTCTGTGATTCTATTTTCTGCTTCAGCAGCACACTGGGTAACAGCAAATGTACTGGTCCTTATCCATGTTCTCYTCCCTTCTCCCAGAAGGGGTAAAACCAGATCTGGCTCTAGACACTAACAGATAGTTTTGCCTGCTGTTAATGTCGTGACTCTGATAGTCCACAGGTGCAGGAGAGTTGGTGTGTAGGCAGAGATAACCCAAACCTGTCTATGGGATATTTAGAAGAAGAAAAATGGGCTTATTGCAGTCTTCCAGTACCTGAAATGAACATATAAGAAAGATGAAGAGAGACATTTTATATGGGCCAGAACAGGGGGGAATGGCTTCCCACTGACAGAGGGCATCTTTACATTAGAGGTTAGAAAGAAATTCTTCCCTGTGAGRGTAGTGAAACTCTGACACAGGTTGCCCAGAAAAGCCCCMTCCCTGGAAGTTTGTAAGTCCAGGTTGGATCARCCTGGTCTAGTGGAAGGTGTCCTTTGCCCATGGCTGGGGGGTTGGAAAGTGATGAGCTTTAAGGTTSCTGTCATCCCAAACCAACTTGTGATTCTGTGATTTTATGAAAGGAAAATCTTAAGTTTTCTGGTCTTGTGAAACCAGGAACCTGTYTGTTCTGTACTGCCCAGTTGGGCTCATGCAGTGGCTTTCAAATCTGAACTGCAGCCACCTCACACTTGGCATTAGAGAGGTACAGAGCGGAATAGAAATGTCCTAAAGCTAAGTGGCATACACTTATTTGCTTGTCTTGGCCCCTTTGCAACACCTGTGGGACAGTCCATGGACTGCTTTCTTCCTGCCCCTGGTGCCAGAGGAGACACTTCCTCTCCCAACARGCTCTGCCAGTGGCAAGTCTGGTGAGTTTCCTGTCTTCTATGAAGAAAGGCCATGGGCGCTTGGTTTCTGCAGGGAGCCGAGTTTGTAAATAGTAATTTGTGTTGCTTTTTGCAGTTGGTATATTAGGGAAAACTGTGAAGCTGAAAATCAGGAAAGCAATTTTGGCTGTTCAGACGTAATCTCAAGCATAAATGTAACTGCAAGTCAGAGAATAAAACCATTGCTTACCAGAAGCAACAAGATTGTTGGATGCTGTGAGCTGGAGAGGTTTTTTCTTGTTCACTGAATTTACCTGTGGTGCACATGGAGATGTTTTCAGCATCTTGCATTACTATGCTTATTCARTGCCACTGCAGATAAGGCTGGCAGCTCCAACACGCGTCTGCTCACACTTCCATTCCCTGAATGTCTCATTCCTTGGTAGTTGAGGGTGTCACACTTTAGTGGTTACAAGTCTGCCTACAATGTTTTAGTAATGCAGGTGTTGAACAATCCCTATGGAATAATCAAAATGCATYGTGTGTTTAGACATTGCAGATTTTATGATGGATGCAGACCTCACATGGGAAACATCTGGAGCTCAGCTAATGTCCAGCATTTCAGTGCTAAATAGAGGGATGTTAAATTTGTGTCCTTTTGTATCTAGAGCAAAGAGGGAACTGAGGGAGGGTAAGTAAGGTCAGAATCCAGTTTAGACTTTCTGTTGAGAGGTGAGAGTCCTGAGGCCCTGAGTCCTGTGGCAGAATGCAGCAATGTTGGCCCTTTCATCTGGTCTTACCGAGGCTGACAGCTTTGGGAGCAGCTTGTTGAGGCTGGAAGAAGCCATAGTTGATAGAGGGTTTGTTGTCAACAGCCCTTTCTTTCTGACAAATATGTGCTGCGTGGTACAGATTGGCTTTGGGGAAGACTCCTGCTTTCTCCTCTGGAGCCAGGGCTGCGAGCCAGAGGCATGAGCTGCTTGTGCATCTTGCAGAGAAAGTGCATGTCTTCAGTTTGCCTTTTTTTTTTGGTTGGATAAATAAATTGTTTTTTACTTCTGTGAATGTGAAACAATAGTGTAGACGGTAAGGTGAGGCCCCCAGTGCTGGTGTGAGCTGCTRCTAATGTGTCTGACAGGATGTGTGACTCAGGACTCTGGAAAAGGCAGTGGATGTCCAGTGTGTTGTGAGCAGGTTTGCTGTTTCATGCCTGTTAATTTCTTGTTTTTCTTGTGTTTCCATTTATCTTGTAACTAGGCTGTCCTTTGGGGTTTAGTGTGCTCAGTTAGACATTGCTTCTCTGGATCAAGGAGTTAGAAGTGAGATTTGCAATAAGYGGGGTGCATTCAATGCTGCTTTGGATGCCTCTGAAGGGGAAGAGGAGTTATCAGGGTTGAAAAAGAAGAGTAATAAAATAATAACATGTCTAGCCCTAGGTAATTGTGCTGTCCAAATTTTCTAGGCTTAACAAAACTGTAATGTTACAGAGTGCTTAGGCTCTCCCAGTGAGGGTGAGGAATTGGAAATGTACYTCTTTCTGAGTGAATTTCTGTGTGCTGTGGCTGTCTTCCTCCAAGCTGCTTTGTAATGTGAAATATTTCCCCYTTTCCAAAGTGTCCAGAATTGCCTAATGCTTTAACTCCGCATTTATGATGATCCTGAGTTACACTCAAAGTTCAGTGTTTTTGTATTACTGTTCTGTTCTTTCTTTGGGTGTGGGGCTTTTGTTTGTGTTTTTCTGAATTGAGCAATGCCTTCTGCAATTTGTTGTTGAAGGGCTCCCTCACCAACCAAGCGCAAGGACAGGTCTGAAGAGAAGTCAAAGGACCGGTCCAAGGATAAAGCAGCCACTAAGGAATCAGGTGAAAAGGATCGTGGTCGGGACAAGACACGCAAAAGACGCAGTGCTTCCAGCGGAAGCAGCAGTACCAGGTGGGTGCTTTTATGCAGACTAACAAATGACAGCATTTTTCAGAAATCTGTAGCTTGATTTCTGATAGTCTTGGGCCTTGCTGGAAGCTTGTGTTGTGTTAGTCACAGTGCAATTTTGTCTTAACTTAAAGAAAATTATATTTTAGGTATGAATTTCTTTGGCTGTTTGGTGAGCTATGGAGCCTCAGTCACAGTTGCTYTCTCTGTAGTTGTCAGAAGATTTTCAGCCATTGTTTTTCTGAGTATTCTCTACCACTTTAAACAGATCCCGTTCCAGYTCAACTTCCAGCTCAGGGTCTAGTTCCAGCACTGGTTCTAGCAGTGGCTCAAGCTCCTCTTCTGCCTCGAGCCGCTCTGGGAGCTCCAGCACCTCACGCAGTTCCAGTTCCAGCAGCTCCTCTGGATCTCCCAGTCCCTCTCGACGGAGACATGACAACAGGAGACGGTCCCGCTCCAAGTGAGTTTTATTTGTCTTCTGGCAATTGCCAGATGCTGGCTTAGTTCCATGTAGAATGCAAGATTGTGATCAGAACAGATTGTTCTCTGAAGATCATTTGCTTTCTCCATAACTTAAAGAGCTGAATTTTGTTAGAATGGGTGTGCTCCATTTCGTTAGAATCCTAAGATATGCCATGACGTAGCGGAGATTAAAAACCTAATTTTTAAAGAGATTAGGATTTTAAATGTTGTAATTTTTAGAGGTGGTTTTAATCAGTGTTTCCCCAGTAGTATGGGCCTAGATCAGATTAAACAGCCATGACTAACAGAAAARTCAGGGCCGAAACCAGAATATATGTGTCTATATGTATATTCTTRCTTAGAAAAAAATAAAACAGGAAGGAGGGCAGAAGAAGCCCCTGTAAGGGTGATGTGGGAATCAAATTATCTTGATGTCTGTACAGTTTTTCCTTTGTGTAAGGTGATAAAGGCTGATAAAAATCCACTTAGGGCAGGGTGGGGTTTTTAGTATATAATTCAATTTATGGCCTTTAAATTAAGATTAGGGAAAAGCATTAATATAAATTTAAGTTTCATTCCAGAGTTTTTTTTTTTTTACATTTTTGGACCTCTGTAGTAAAGATGGGATACAGAGACACAAATAATTGAATCCATGCATTTGCCTGGTTGTGGTATACTGTGGTGTGTTTATGGCCCTATTTTGCTTCTTTAATTGTTGAGGTGAAGAATGTTTTTGTGTTAACAACTGGTAAATGCTTAAACTATGACCACAACTTCATAGCAGTGTTTGCTAAATTTCATGTTTGTAACCCTAGTTGCAGTGAGGTTGAAAAGTTGCAAAAAAAAGTTCTCMGATTCCAAAAGCTTCTAAAGCAAAAGCGGACAAATGCAAGTCCTGAGGTGTTTCTGAGTGGAGCATCCTCACCACCACCCCAATACTGTAATTTCTTCAGGAAAAACATGCCTTTCCAAGAAAGTAGTATTTTTAATCATATGATAATGACTGGCTTCTTGGTTTTGTGTTGCATATTTTCTGAAAACTGTAAATGTTCTCAATTGTCCAAATCAGGTCCAAGCCACCCAAGAGAGATGAAAAGGAGCGGAAGAGGCGGAGCCCATCACCCAGACCCACAAAAGTTCAYGTTGGAAGGCTCACTAGAAATGTGACCAAGGTAATGCTCCCCTGTAGAAAAGCATTTATGTTCTTTTGAGAATGTGTGAGGTGCTCTTTCATAGCTCTTGGGACTTCTTGGTTACTGGAGCATTGCTAAGGTGTTGCTGTTGGAAATTCTTTTTTTGTGTCCAGATTCATGAGTGAGAAAATCTTCGCAGGATTTTACTGAGTCAAGTACCATGAAGGCTTCTGAGATGCTGTAGTGCTTAAGAGGTCTTCCTGCTTTGTCAGTATTATAGACCTCATATCCTGCTTTACTAGGAAGAATGCTACAGAATTTGGGCCATCAGCTGAAATTACCTTGGAGGAATAAAGGCTGTCTGGCAGTTCTTGATAAAGGATCTGCAGAGARCTGGGCTGGCTTGGGTTGTCTTTGCTAGAATGTAGTTTCAATGTCTTCAGGGGTGAAAGGTTTAGGCTGCTGAAAAAATGATGTGCTGTGGATTTACTGCTTTGTGCGAGCCAGACCTGGCCAGTAAGTGTGGTCTGTGTCCATAAGGCTTGCTCTCTCTCTCTCTGCAGGATCACATAATGGAAATTTTTTCCACTTATGGAAAGATTAAAATGATTGACATGCCAGTTGACAGGCTAAACCCACACCTCTCGAAAGGTTATGCTTATGTGGAGTTTGAGAACCCAGATGATGCTGAGAAAGCCCTGAAACACATGGATGGAGGTACGTCTTGTCCTGCAGGGAGCCTGGGGGCTTTTAAAAATCTTCGGAGCAGATGGGTTTAGTCAGAAAATCAGTTAGAAGTGATAAGGATATCTTTGGTGAGCTGATTTAAAATATTGTCAGTTTTCAGCCCAAATGGCTTTTGGGAGGTTCAGGAGAGATCTAARAAATAACAGAACTATTAAAATTAATCTTTTTTTTCAAAATGGTAATAAAATTCTTTTAAGTTTCTGTGAAAGCTCTTCCAGGTTAACATCTGAACTACAGTTTGGTGGGATTAGATAAAGAAGTCTAGTAGGTGTGTGGACTTGGTCAGAATAGCCCCTGAGCAGGGTATGGAGATAGGACCAATGGGCTGATTCCACTTCAGTTGCTTGTGACAAAGCAGTGAGGTGATGTGTATGTGTTAGTGTTGAAAAATACTTACTTCTCCCTGTTTATRTGATTCCCTAAAAAGGCCAGATCGATGGTCAGGAGATCACGGCCACAGCTGTGCTGGCACCACGGCCTCGGCCACCTCCCAGACGCTTCAGCCCCCCCAGGAGGATGCTGCCACCACCGCCGATGTGGCGCAGGTCACCCCCTCGCATGAGGAGAAGGTGAGAGCTGGGACAATGTTTTCCCCTGTAGCAGCTCATTATCTTTGAAAGACTGAGCGTGTGGACTATCCTGTTGGACCTGACTTTCCCTGCCAAGTGACAGTAAAGCGTTTTGGGCATTGGTTGAACCTGGTTTGCRGTTCCTAACTCCTTAGCTCCATGGTGCATGGTCTGTTCTGCACCTGAGCACAGTCTCTGGGAAAGGTCAGGTGCTTCCCAGGCTGTTCCTGGAGCCCCTTCTGCCTAAAGGCTTCAAGGTGAAGTGGGAACAGACTCTGGCTGACAGAACACTTTTGGCAGCCTGYGCCAGCTGCTTGTGTTTCAGGAAGCCCTTGTACCTCCCTCCCTTATTTCTGAATGGGCACATGACCAAAAAGCACACCTGTGTCAGGTGAGTACACTGGCTCCAAGGTGTGACCTGACAATTGTGCCACTTGGGGCTGCCTGGTTGTGCTCRGATAAGTTATTCTGTGTCTTCAGCATTTACATGTCTTAATGTAATGTGCTTAAACGTTAAAATGTGCTTAAACACCTGTCAGTAGTAACTTGATTGCTGAACAGCTTTAAACTACAGGTTTAAAAATGAGCAGTAGTTTCTGTGGCATAATGTTCCTGGAGGTTTCTTGGAGTTTAAAACACACCTTTTGCTGAGGATGCAGGTTTGCCATTCTCTTCTCCTTTGTTTTCTTTCCTACTCCAACTATTACTGTCCTCTTAAAGCTCCTTTAGTATGCGGTGTCTGGATCTTCTGTGTCATAACAGAAGCTATACTCCTGTGACTGTTGATTGTAGTACTGAGAAGCTTGAAGCTAAACTATTTCTTGAGTTAACTTCCTGTAAGGTGCTCCCTTGTAATTTGAAAGGGTTTGGATAAATCCTTCCCTTGARTATCAGTGTTTTAGGAGTCAAAACTGACTTCAGGTGAAGCAGAATCTGATATAGAATGAACTTGAGCTCATTTTCCCCAAGGAAGAAGATAAGTTTCTTATCTGTTGTTCAGATATTAATCGTTTTTTCCTGACGCAGAGGGAGGATAGCCAGAATGTTCCTGCTGTGTAGTCAGTCCTCTCTGGAGCTGTCTSTGTTTTGCTCAAGATATTTTCCCATGGTTTGTGAGGGATTTTGGCAAGAGRCAAGGAAGTGTTTTTAGAAAGTTGGTGGTTGAGCTGACCAGTTACTCAAAACCTGTTGCTCTTGTCTCGTAACAGAAGCTTTTTCCTCCTTCCCTGCCAGGTCCCGGTCTCCTCGACGCAGATCCCCTGTTCGCCGGCGATCCCGATCCAGGTCTCCTGGACGAAGGCGCCATCGCAGCCGCTCCAGCTCAAACTCCTCAAGATAAAGCAAAAGGACTGGACAGCTTTTTACTTTTTAACTTAAATCCCATCAAATGAAATATTGTACCTTTTTTTTTATAATCAGTGTGGTTGAGGAGGAGTGAGAAATAATCCTGGCAGTGAAGGCATCATAAGAGGAGAGAGCACCTGTTCATGGCCAGGAGCCTTTGCTGTGAGGCTTGTGGATTCCTGGCATTGAATTGAAATAATTTTAAAATGGCTTCGATTTTAAAGGCTGTAAAAACATCTTTTCTGGATAGAGCGAAGGAAAAACATTTCAGCCTCTCTTTCTCCAGTTAACAGCTGCTGCTTGGTGATTGTAAACGCTTAGCACGCTGTGCAGACCAGCATGTAAACCTTGAGCTATTTCAGAGCCCCAGTAAGACAAGGTGGCACATACCTTGATCTCCAGGTGCCAGCACAGGATTTTTCTAGGCAGCTGAAGCCCAGATCTGCCTGAGACTTAATTCAGTACAGAGTTRTTGCTTTATTCCAGTTCCCCCACATGATTAGTTTTTGCAGAGTAAGCGCTTCTGTAATGCTTATACCAGGCAATCACCACAGAAACAACAGTCCAGCCCAGTGAACATGGCGCTATAGAGAACAACCTGGAAATCCTAAGTATTCTATAGCTGTCCCCTTAAGTGATTTCTTTMACCTTTTCTTTGAGGGTATTGGTAAAAACTTCCTATTCAGCCCACAGTGAGACAGTGTGATGCTTTTACAAATTCCAAATGAGCAACTCTGCGCCAGCCCCCTGGAAACTGCAAGGCAGAGAGGGAGGCTTCAGGCSAAAATGCTGACTAATTAACTGGGATTCACACAGAGAAAGGCAAAGAATTTTAACAGCTGTTGTACAGTCAATACTATATAGATTTTTTTTTGTTTTGTTTTGTATAACTTTGTATCCTTTTGGGCCATGTTGTGTTTGTACTTGTGTAGGACAAGCAATTATTGAATAAAGCAGTAGGGTTGAGAATAGCGTCCTGCCTCGCTGCGTTGCTGTGCGTAAGGTGGGGATATGGTGGGAACATCCGCGGTCCCAGTGTAGCACGAGGTCGCAGTCTCTTTAAAGGGGCGAGGCTTGTGTCCCCCGCTTCCTCGGGCTGGTGCTGCGCATTGGCTGCCGCCCGCCGCGGCCGGAAGCGGGGCCGCTACGCGCTGCCTTCAGCGCGATGGCGGCGGAGGGAATGGTGCCGGGGCCGGGACCCGGACCCGCTCTGGACCCGGGGCTGGAGCCCGTCCTGCGGGAGGCCGTGGCGGCTCTGGGCCGGGCCGGGGAGGGGCGAGCGGCGGCACTGGGCGCGGTGCGCGCCGCTCTTGCGGCGGCGGGCGGCTCAGCCGCCCTCGGGGAGCAGGAACGGGCGCTGTTCGGCGCCTTCCTGCACAGCCTGGCCCGGGCGCCTGGCGCGGCGCGGCCCGAGGGCGTTTGGCAGCGCTGCTTCCTGGAGGGCCCGCCCGGCCTTGTCCTCTGCGTCCTGCTGGAGGCCCTCGACTCCGCRGGGTCAGTCCGGCTCCCCGGGGCAGGCGGGCGGGCGGGCTCCCCCTGGCCTGCTCTCGGCGCGCAGGAGGGATGTCTGGCTGTACCTTTSGGCTGGGTTGAAGTGCAGAGGGACGGAGATGTGGGTGAACGCGGGGAGCCCTTTGCGCTGCCCTGAGTGCCTTCAGACCCCACACAGTGCTGTGCGTCCTGCAGAGCCACAGAGCTCCTTCACTAGTGATTGCAGAAGGGCCTGAATGTTTGGAGCCGAGGAAACTGCAGATATAAAGAGATAAAAGTCGCTTTAATTTGATTATTTTTTAAATACAGTGTAACAGAGCAGCGGCATTTCAGTAGTGATACCACAACAGAAAAGTGATGGCATGTACATCTTATTTTTACCATTTAAAAGAGACAGAAACTTACAGTTATTTTCTTCCAGCCCTGGCCTTGACCCGAGGGAGGTGGTTGGGGTCCTGGAGCAGTTCCTGCAGGAGGGTCGGATGTCAGCACTGCTGTGGGAGATCTGTCAGCAGCAGGCCCAGGTGGGCTGCCTGGAGCTGCAGGAAGCCCTGCTCAACAAGATCGTGTGCTTGCCTGAGCATGTGAGCAATAAACTCCAGGGAAAAAACCCACCAGTGTTCTTCCCACAGAACTACTTCCCTCTGCTGGGTGGTGCAGTTCTCCAGGTGCTGCAGAAGATCTCGGACTCTYTGCGGGGTAAGGCTGCAGGACAACTGTACTGTAGGGTAACCTTATCTGAYGAAGTGTTGTGTGCATGGACCCCATGGCTGCTGCTTGAAATACAGATGATGAGTGTTGCAGAGCCTMACGTACCCCTTCAGGCTATCCTAAAAGCATAAGGTCCCAGGAGTGAGGAAGATAGCTGAGACCTTTCAGAATCCAATGAAAGCAGCAATCCTCCAAACTTAAACGAGCATCATCTGTTCCTAAAGCTTAGTTGTGGTCACTTGGTGTGTGCTGAAGGAGTTGTTTGGGAGATTTGAGTGGTACTGTAWTAACCAGTAGCATTGCTACCATCATTTTAAAGTGGGCCTGAGCTGCTTTAGTCTTCTGCCTGTCGCTGTAAATAATACTGAGTGCTGGTTTGTGCCAGAAGGCAGGTGGAGGGAGGAAGAGATGAAGCTTGAAGAGTAAGCTGCTGGATTTTCAGGATTCAGCACTTGTGGAAGTGCAACTCCTCCAGAAGGTTGGTAGGAGGATGCTGGTAAAGTGTTTGGTAAGTTCACATCTCTTTTATCCCAGGTGGCTTGGACTGCTCCATCTCTTTTGTTTCTCATGTCCTGGGGAAGGTGTGCATTCATGGAAGGCAAAGTGAGTTTTATTATGCTCTTTTGGGGAGGAGGAAAGTGTTTTAGTGTATTAACATRGGAGGGTGACTGTGATAATGATCAACAGAAGGAGTGGGAGACCAGCAAGTTAATTTGGAGCTGTTCTGAGTTGYGCTGCACAGGCTGCCCTCTGCTCTCTGAGGCTGCTCAGCTGCATGTAGRTGATGGTGCTTTTCTGCCAATTGATATGAATGGGACCTGTTCTCTCAAAAACTGATGGAGAGAACATCATGATGAGAATCATCTCATTTTGCCATTTGGGGCGTGACTATTAAATGCTCTTCTAGTCCTTTTTTTGCCTGAAAGTGTGTTGTAAATACCAGTGTCCTGCCCACATGCAGTAGCCCTCTTGTGGGAGTAGCTGGCTGGTTGGCTTTGCTTAGCACTTGGAAGCCACTGAAGCAGTAGTTAAGAGGGCTGGGGAAGAAGAAGAAATATTTTCTGGCTCTGTACTGTGAAGAGGAATACTGCCAGTTCCTTAGGCAGCTTAGGTTGGCCCTTACCAGTCAGTTCTCCGATTCTTTTTGGAATGTGAACAAAAAAGAGCAGCAGAGCTGGGGAAGAGGCTTGAGCACAAATCTGATGAGCAGTTGAGGGAGTTGTGGGGGCTCAGYCTGGAGAAGATGAGGCTCAGGGGGGATCTTCTCACTCTCCGCAATTCCCTGAGGGTGCAGCCACGTGTGGATCAGGCTCTGCTCYCAGRGAGAAAGGGACAGGACAAGAGGAAATGGCTTCCAACTGTGCCAAGGGAGATTTAGRTTGCATATTAAGGGATACTTCTTCATTGAAAGTGTGGTCAGGCATTGGAGCAGGCTGCCCAGGGTGGTGGTGGAGTCACTAAATCCCTGGAGGAATTTAAAAGCCATGTGGATGTGGCACCTGGAGACAAGGTTTAGTGGTGGCCTTGGCAATGGTGGGTTATAGTTAGACTCAATGGTCTTAGAGAGCTTTTCCAACCCAAATGATTCCATTATTCTATTCTGATTTCTACTATAGGARTAATTTAGGAAAAAACGTATTTTTTCATGTTCTGAAGATCTTTAATTTCTCATGTCAGCCTCAAATGCAGTTGCACTAGTCCTGCCTGTCTGAGGTATTTACTGTTTTCTCTTCTGCTTCAGAGGAAATTCTGGGCGTTTTGGTGCCCCACCTGACGGACCTCACCAAGTCAGACTGCATCTGGCAGAGGATGTGCTGGCGGTTGGTGGAATGTGTGCCAGACCGCTGGATGGAAGCAGTGGTCCTTGGTTTTGTGCAGAGAGCACCCGGGTAAGARCTGTGAAAGGTTCTGTGTTTGTGTAGGTGATCTTTTTTACACTGCCATTTCCTGAGAGACTCAAGGGATAAGACAGTTGATTGTTGCCTCTCAGGGAGAGCCATCACCATCTCTTAAGAATCCACATCATGACATGCAATGGAAAAACAAGTGAAAACATTCTCTGCCATTATTTGTGTTTAGAGGTGTGCTATAGAGTTGGTTGCAAATAACTGCTCTCAGATTTTCCTATGATTAAGAACAGCATGACAGCAATCACATGGATTTCTGATGTTTTGTTGTTATCTTGTTAGGGCAGATGCCTTGTCCAGATTACTGGGGAACCTGGTTGTGAAGAACAAGAAGGCACAGTTTGTGGTGACACAGAAGATGCTGCTCTTGCAATATAGCCACACGGTGAGAACTCAGTGGGGAGCAGCAGTGTAGTTGTGCTGGGTTTTCCCCAGTGCCAGTGTGCTAAGTTCTTATTCTTCCTGAGTAAGGTTTAACTTCATTACAAAACGAGTCCTCAGTCTCTCCACATGTGTTCAGCTATTCACTGACAGCAGAGTSTAATAGAGAGGGAGTAGTGAACAGGAGCTTTGAAATCATGGGATTCATGTGCTCTCTCAGGGTCAATGGTGATTAGCAAAACTACTGTACTCTTGGAACCACGTGGTTATTTGCACATAGTTTCAGAATTCTGGGGAGCTGAAGACATTCAGTTATTTTAGACTCTGAAAGAGGAGACTGAAACAGACATGACCCACCCTCAGGGATAAGAATTAGACTGAAGACATGAGACAAGGATTGTTGGGTTTTTTTCCTGTGCACATAAGTTTGTCACAAGATGTTAGGAACTGTTCTGTGGCTTGTGATGCTGTTGTGAGATGTTGTTTTAGACTTGTGAGTTGTATGTTTGCCTGGGACTATGCTGGTTTTATTGGTAAAAATACTGTACTGTATTTGTCATGGTTTTCACGTATTTCATCAGCAATTGCCTCTGTATGTTTGGTTGTTTTTTAAAATTTGCTTGCTTTTCTGTCTCTGAGTGTTGTCAGCCAGTCCCTCAGAATGAGGTTTAGTGTGGTAAAAACAGACACTTGTCATTGCTGRATGACAGCTTTATGTCCAGTTGAAGCAGGAGTTGTGGTTTTCCTTGCAGACGGCAGTGCTGCAGAATCTCCTTGGCTACCTGTCCCTGGACAACCTCCGGCGCACCTTGTTACTCAGAGTAAGGTTCACCCAGTTGCTGATGAGGTGTCTGATGGAGAATGTTCTGCTCTGTGTGTGTGTCTGGGTGGTGCACAATTTTGGTACTTCTCTCAGACTTTCTGGTTGCTGTTCATGAGAGTGAGGGAAGCCTGGCCATATCACAAGTGAACTGTGATAAACAAATCAAAGCCTTCTTCACTGCTTACATTAACTTTCCATATTTAATTGGTAAATTGTCTTCCAAATAGCAAAACTAGGCTGGGTTCTGAAAGATGTCCCATGTCCTCTGTCCTTCCCAGCTTCCTCTGTCACCCTATTTGTGTGGCTGGGTACATGACAGCAAGGGATCAAGTTGGTGAGGAGTTGTCGGTTTACCAAGTGTTTGATGTTTCAGAATCACTCTCATCTACATTTTCCACAGTAGGGGTGGCAGATATTTTGCCTCTCCAAGTCAGCAGTATGATGAAACTTATATGAAATTTGTATATCTGGAAATCTCTACCATTTTGTCAAATTATWATTTTTTCCACTGTTTACATGTTTTAAAATTATCTGGAAGTACTGACAGCTATCTAAAATTGTACTAACCATAAATAAAACCATATAATATCATACTGTTTTTTTATTATAATACATATTGCACTGCATGTAATATTTACTAATAAGAAATAAACATTTA